CACATGAAAGCAAGCCCTTAAAAGACGATGCCAAGACCTAAATACGAAAAAAATAAGAATAAAAACTTTCAGTGTAGAAGAAATACCTATCATGGGAAGGGACATCCAGATCCAGTTTTTAGGGCCAGTTCTCAGCTGAAGAAAGTACTGACCGTAAATATCTAAATTCGCCCTGTTCTGCACCAGGGATGTTCCCCATCACGTAGATAAGCGTTTCAGCACCTGGACGGCGCGCTGGAATCACATGGGGAGCTCTTGAAAAACACTGATGTCTCCCACCCCAGCAGGATGATTTCGACCGAGTGCATCCTGGCGCCAGGAGTTTTTCTGAGACATAATTCACCTCCTGAAACTGAGGGTGGTCATCGGTTAAATCCATCCCACCCCTAGCCCAGTGTCACTGATCAAGCTCGCTGTAATCACTGCTGCAAAAACCAGCACGTGCTCTAAGAGGTACGGAGCCTGGACGGTCAGGTGCCTGCTGCTTTCCAAGAACTCGGAGTCAGCCGCGTCCAGCGCAAGCTCGAGCCTGTTAAGACTGGCATCGGGAAGGGCCTCCCCAACCCTAAAGCAGGGACACTGGGAGGCGGGGGATGGCACACCGCGCAGGAGGGCACGGCAGGGGAGGCGACGGCAGCAAAACCAGGGGCGACGCTGCTCACTCCCCACACCCCTCGGGGGCTCACACGCACCTCGCACACGACCGCGTGGTTCTCTTCGTCTCCGGCCTCTATGAGCTCACCCAGGAAGTATTCGCCGTAGGTCTCCCTCAGGACCGTGTCGTGGCGCAGAAATATTGGCATGAGGTCGTCGTGGTCTTCCACCCTGTGTAACGGAAAGGCTTAACTTCACAGCTGGTTCCTTCATTTGCTCCTTCGGTGGTGTGCCCACCCTGTACGGGACTCTGTTCTAAATGCCAGGAACAGGAAATGAACTTACATTCTACATAGGGGAACAGACACCAAAAATGTAACAAAGAAGCCACCTCAAACATTTAGAATAGCAGTAAGTGCTTTGGGATGGAGGGTGACTGGGCCAAGCAGTCAGGGAGGGAATGGACAGAGGCGAGGAGGAAGCTACGTCGGGACCGGAGGGAGGACGTTCCAGGCAGAGGCGACACGCACATCTGGGTGTGGGATGCAGGGCAGAACCATGAGCCAAAGGGCAGGGAGGTGTCCACAGCATCTCCCACGTGCGTTCCAAGGAAACCACTTCTATGACATTGCTCCTGCCCTTGGAAGAAATCCACTGTCTAAAAACAGTTAGGTGACAAGATTCTGAGAATTACTACCATACAGAATATTTAACTTTGCTTACGTATTTTGCCAACATGGGCCTGTGCTACCCTTTATTCCTGAGCCATCTCTAGACGTCCAGGGGAGGGGGAGATGCTGGTTTGAAGGTGACAGAGCTCTGCTCACCATCCTGGGCACATCTCCTCAAACCTCCTTCCCAGGTTTACGGTGACCTCCATGACCACCATGAGTGGGGATTCCGGCCAGTGGTCTCCATGCTGCTGCCATAGTTAACACTCCCTTCTTCTTTTTGGTACGTTCTTTTTTTTTTAACATTTTTTATTGATTTATAATCGTTTTACTTTGGTACGTTCTTGATGAAATCGAGTATTCTATTCTACCTGTCTAGGATGTTCTTACACTTTTTTTCTGGTACTTTTCTTGTTAAAACAGTCCATATTTGTAACATTTTTTGGTAGTGTGACTGATTTCACTACTAACCTTTATCTCCCACCCCTTTATTCCATTACTATGTCCTTGTTATCATTCTATTTTATCTTTGTCTTTAAATTGAAGTAGAGTTGATTTACAATGTTGTGTTAGTTTCTGGTGTACAGCATAGTGATTTAATTACATATATATATATATATATATATATATTCCTTTTCATATTCTTTTCCATTATAGGTTATTACCAGATACTGAATCTAGTTCCCTGTGCTGTACAGTAGAACATTGTTGTTTAGCTATTTTATATATAGTAGCATGTGTCTGTTAATCCCAAACTCCTAATTTATCCCTCATCCCCCTTCCCCTGTGATAACCATAGTTTGTTTTCTATGTCTCTGAGTCTATTTCTGTTTTGTAATTAAGTTCATTTGTATCACTTTTTAGATTCCACATACAAGTGATACCAAATTATGTTTGTCTTTCTTTGTCTGACTCACTTCATGTACTATGATAATTTCCAGGTCCATCCATGTTGCCGCAAATGGCATTATTTCATTCTTTTTAATGGCTGAGTAGTAGTCCATTGTGTGTGTGTGTGTGTGTGTGTGTGTGTGTGTGTGTGTGTGTGTGT